TCGGTTTCCGTTGAACCGTCTCTATTCCCAGTTGCTCATGTAGGTTTAGGCCCAAAAAATTTCTTGTTGTTCTCGGATACCAAGAACCGGGCAAAGTCAATCTTCCAACCGTGCGACGTAATCGGGATATCTAAGGAGCCAAACAATTTGATAGGCCATTTGTTTTAATCAACAAATGAAGTCCCTACCCGGTGTCTTGAGACATCTTTAATTTTTACGTCAGGTAAATTTTTCGTCAGAATGTCCGCTAATCTACTAGTGGTCCTACGATTTTCCCCTCCTCGCCCCTGATAGTTTTGATTTTGGTACTGTTGTACCGAAAATGTGGGTTCTTGTTAAACTCGTATATGATGGGTAGCGGATGATGACGAGCGACTATGCGGGAGCAGCTTTTGGAATTAATCCGAAGTTTTCGCCCCCTTTTCGCTCTGTAGAGCAAGTTGAAGAGTGTTTCCGAGGTTTGTTTTCGCCTTGATCAGCTCTTGTTGCACATCAAAAACTCTAATTTGGACGATGAAGAGGTCTTTAACGTGGATTTTCCTGGTCTGGTGGCCAACTACACAGAGCTGTTTGTGCACTGAGACGCGGGTAAAAATATGAAAATGAGTCATTATCATTCACGAAGATTGTGATTCACAGTTTGATCCGCTCAACAGTATAGTCCCGTTCGGCTTTGAACGGGTCCTCACGCCTCTTGTGAAACTCGATGATTGAACATGCGTTTGAATCCAAGTGTGTATACGAATCGGTTAGCCTCTTTTTCCGCTCGTTGCCCAGTGAAAAGAAAAGTCGAGATTTGAACCGTGCCTCTGCCTCATAATAGCACTAACTGTGTCCAATCCGAAGTCCTTTGCATCTCCTCTCTGCGTTGTATTTATCCGTGCGCCGGTTTGCGGCCGTGTTTCTAAGAGATCTGATGGTGGCCTCTGTTGCATCTTCGGATGTTCTTGGTGTTTCTGGCTTCGTGTACGGTTCGTCCACTATTGTCGCCGGAGCGACTAAGACTTCCCGGGTGAAATATTATCGCTTAGGGTAGCGGCCAAGAAAAACTGTCCCACCCAGGTCTCACAGATAAAAGGAGGGTTGACTGATGATTTCGCCCCAAAGGGAGGAACTCAAAGTATGTCAGTCCTGTCTTCAATCGCAGGAACTGCTGGCTGCGACATGAGATTACCCACACGTTGTGGCCGGAAAACTCGAGGGTAAACTGCGAATAGTAAAATCATAAGCTTTAGCTACTGAATTTACGGCAGGCATGTGTGACTAACATTCGGACTGGTGATAGAGTATTTGAATAACTTACTGCACAACTGACTACATAGATATAAATTTAGTACAAATACAGAGAAGCACTTAACGTAGAATGAGGTACCGAAGGTATTACACTTAGAAAAATTTGATTTACTGGTTAGCAGCATCCTTAAAAATCTGCTTTAAGAAGATTTTATCGGATGGGTGGCTGCCCTAAAAGAGCGCAGTAACCAGAGATGCCATATCTACAAGGCATTTGCGGAGGCAGATTTTTCAGAGTGAATGATTCCATAGTGATAATGTGAAGAGGTAGCGACAATCGCTTCCGATTGTTTTTTCTTAGATTCAGTCGCGCTGGAAATCGGACGCAACTTCGTCTAGTTTTTCGCAATTAGCAGCATCCAGCTCGAAAAGATCCGCCGTTCTCTCATTCACCAAGCCATGTGGGACAAAACTGGTGGCTGGTTATTGTCATCGCGCTAAAGTGAGCGCGTGATTGATCGAGTATGTTTGTTCATTCATGAAACGGCAATAAAAGCATTCAAACTTCTCTCAGGATGCGGGAGTTTCTTTGTTTTGATCCGATTTTGCAAGAAAAATAGGAACACTAAAGCTCACTTTGGTTTTCTCTTCCGACAAGTTGCTTCTTTTTCTTAAAGGTTGTTCTTTTTGCGGGTTTAAATAGCGGTTTGACCAATTGGTAATAATTTATCCCAGTTTCCGATTCAAGCAGCGTGTAGTGTGCTTTGTTGACCACTCCGGCGCAGAAGTCTTTCTAAATTGAGTTCAAGCAAATTGATTGATGATCAAGTCTAGAGCTGTATGTTCACATTTGATAAACGTTTCAAGAGTTTATTTTAGGTTTACTTATGTTTATTTGGAAGCCTTGTGTGCGATTGTTAAAATTATGCGATTGTTAAAATTCAGCCAATTGAGTGCGAATGTTGTACAATGTGTTGTGCAATTGATAAAACTGCATCGGACAAACTTTATGTGTACCATCCAGGGGCGGATCTAGGATTTTCTCGAGGGGGGGCGGATTTTCAAAAAAAATTCGAAAATTTTGACGACCTTTTTTTTTTTTTTTAGATCGACCAAATTGATTTTTCGAGCTCTCCCAAAGCAGTGTTTTGCCCCTATTTTGGCAAAATTTTCTGCGCCGCAGGCTAATTTTTGAAAAAACAGTCAAAAAAGCCGTTTTTGGGCACTTTTTGAAAAATTTTGACAAAAAAATCGCATTTTATTTGGCGCGCACTCCCCCTCAAAGTTAGTATATATTGGCGCCCAAGGCGCCTTTAGAAAAATTTTAGGGTCGGTCGGGCAAAAATGGATTTCTGAAAAAGTATCAAAGGGGGGACCCTTTGGGTCGGCAGGGGGTCGAATCCCTGAGGGGGGGGCGTCCGCCCCCCCCTAAATCCGCCCCTGGTACCATCGCAAAGCGGAGAGATCTCTGTACTCCTGAAGAGACTAGATGGCAGGACTTATCCATATTGATATTTAACACCTCCACTTATCTCCTTAACACTAGATACGGTAAAACATAATATGAAATTGAGGTAATTAAGAAGACAGATTGGCGTAGGCTAGATTGGCATATATGGTAGGTTGGTATATAGGGTAAAAGGACATAGGGTACAATGGATAGCCCGCACCGAAGTTTCTCCGATTATTATCTATTATCTGCCGATTTTGTGGTCGAACAAAAAACTATTCTCTTAAGAATCGATTATCTGGTGATTATGTGGTCGCCGAGTAGAATAATCGATTATATGGAGAAAAAATCCAATAAAAAACTTTATTTTTGTGTCGATTATATTGGAATTATAATAGATTATAACAAATTCCCGCAGCGAGCGCCCATGGATCAAAATCGATTATATAGTCATAATATGGTCTGCAATAAAATGACAAAATAATCGATTATAATCCATTAAAACTGGATCATAAGCCTGAAATTTTTTTTCAATAAAATCCATTATATTCGATTTTAATCGATTATAATGGACTTTTTTGAGGGATTATTCATGAAACTTACAATTTATTCAAAGTTATCTTATTTCCTGTTTAGTGCATTTGATACGTATTATGTTTCATAAAATGTTACATTTCAGAACAAAATTTCTATACTTTTTGGTCCCTGTTTTTAATTTGGTCGCAGATTACGTATTACGTTTCATAAAACGTTACACTTCAGAACAAAATTTCTATACTTTTTGATCTCTGTTTTTAAATTCGTCGCAGTTTAACACTTCATTTTACTGTTTTTTTTTTTACCACAAACGCCCCCAAACCCCCCCCCCCGCAGTTTAACCCCCCCCCCCCCCAGTTTTTGCACCTCCCACTATTTATCCTCCCCCCAGTTTACCACTTTACGCCCCGGGTTTATTTACCTATTATTCCGTTTATGTCCCCCAGTATACATCCCCTTTCCCCAGTTTACATCCCTTCCCACAGTTTACCCTACCCCTTCAGTTGGGGGGTGGGGGTTAAAAAGCTTGAGTGGCCAAAGGGATGACGTTGAGGCATTCCCGCAAAATTTGCAAAAAATTTGAAATTAGTTCTAAAAATGAAATGAACTATAGTCTATTATAATGGATTATAATAGATTTTTATTTCATTTACTTTTAGCATATGCATTTAAGAAGAGAAAATAATCAACTCTTCAGACAATAAAATCCCTTTTTTTAACAACATAATTGATGTTTTGAGTCCTTGATTTTATTGCAATTTTATGGCGATAGAAATAGTTTTTGTCGCGATTTTATGGCAGTTTTATGGCAAAAACGATAGATTTTATTGCAATTTTATGACAAAAACAATAGATTTTATTGCAATTTTATGGCGATTTCACCTCAAAGAAAAATAGATTTTGTTGAGATTATGTGGAGATAAAAACATAATTTTGGTGGAATTATAAGGCAAAATAATCTTCATGAAAAAAATCTATTTTCATTCTATTATAATAGAAAAAGTTGCTTAAGTTGGTAACACATAATCGATTATAATGGCAACATTTTCGGCAACGTTTTCTCAAAATAATCTGTTTTTATCCGAGAAACTTCACTGCGGGAGGCTAAAATATCCTGATTTCCTAAAGTACAATAATAAATTATTCTAAATCTACGGACTATGTACAACTATTGTACAGTTACTTAAAAGGATAAAACTACTAAAAGATAGTGTGCTAAATTGAAACGTTCTAAAACGACAACTGAACTCACACACTGCGATCGACCGATGGTCGTATCGATTAAGTTAATTGGTATTAATTGAAACCGAAGATCATTTAAAACAACTTGAAACAAATCACAACATTTCCTACCGGGAAAAAAGTTAGAACTACTTAATCACTTACTAATTCTATATACATCCATTTTCCCCCTTCAAAAAGGAACAAAATTTTACAAACTGCGCCAGGAAACTGCGCCAGAAGCAAAATAGCATCTACAAATGAAAAGAGAAGGTACGATGTACAGGGTGAATATACAGAATTTACAGATTTACAAAGTTTTAAATAAAAAGAAATAACTAAGCTGAGACTAAAAATAAACAATAATCTACAATATGTTCATTTAACATGTACAACATTATCTACAGTAAAATAATCAAATAGAAGAATGGAGTGGAATACAAAGTTTTATAATCAGTTAAATTGTTCATCAAAGTCGTCAATTTTAGCTTTTACTTCTGGGTCAATTGTCAAAGAAATTTCGCTGGCATCATCTATCTCGTCCAGAGAGTCCTTGATGGTTGGTTGTGCGGAATGAGATCCCGAAGAAGTATCATTTATTAGGGTCGTGATTGGAAAATGGATTGATCTGACCGAAGGGCACGAACTCTTAGTAGATCAAGTTAGAGTTGTTTCGGCAACGAGAGTTCGTCGGGGAGGAGAAGTTTCTTTGGAGAAGTGTCTTTGAGCGATGGATTCCTGGAAGTATCGGGGATTGAGGTAAATTTAAGTCAGACTTGTATCTCATCACTAGGTTCGCATGTTCAGTTGGGAGACGGTCATCTCTGAATTTGAGGGCAATGTTGCGTTCTTCGGGGATTATTAATAGAAGTTCAGTAAGTTTGTCCATTGGAAAATTTGACCGCTTTTTTGAATAAGGTAACAATTGTCTATTTTCAAGAATAAAATGTAAAAGGACTTT